ACCGTCAAGTTAACCGGATCATTATTTGGCCTCTTCGCTGGCGAAGCTGGGAAAGACGGCGGGTCCCGTTCAGCACCGGCTGCAGTGTAGTATATAGACAACGATATTCTCGCGGTCAATCTCCACAACGCCAACAGCACCGATGGAGAGCGACAGCGCGTTCGTGGCCCCGGAGGGCGTCTACTCCGTCACAGAGGAGCACAAGCCGCCCGTCGTACCAGCGCATTCCAACACCACCCAGACATACCCCACTCGGCTCTCTACCGTCACTGTCCATTTCAACAGCTCGAAACAGGCGGGCTCGCCAGGTTTGGCACAGCTGCTCGGCGCAAACCTCAACAAGGATTCACGGAGGGACAGGGAGCGAGAGAGAGAAAAGGACAAGGACAAGGACAGACTACCAGACGATCGCAGTTTGTCCTCCAGCGACACGCCCGATGACAACCTCACCTCGCCAGACGTAACTTCGCCCCAAGCGACTGCACAGGATCTCATCGTGTCCCAGGAGCCTCAGCACAGGCTCTTTGCTCACCCCTCCGTCTCTGGGAAGAAGAAATCCAGTTCTTCCAAGCCAAAGCATAACATGCGCACGACTTCATCCACCTTCATAACGCGCATGCAGAGCGTCGAGGGATTGAATAAGGTCCTTGCCAGCAAGCAGGGTGACGCGACGTTCCTGTTCTACAACTCTGGTAAGACCTTTCTCTGGTGTGAAGTTGGGACCAATGCCAAGGTGCGCACACACGGAATAAATCTAATCTACACCACTACTAAGGGTCAAATGTCAGGACGCACTTACAAAAATCAGTTTTTCCGCATTTCCGACCTGTCATGACGTGAACACCCTCACGGCCTCAGCCGAGAGACTCGACGTCGTCATTGGGTTCAATACAGGCGACCTGGTCTGGTTTGGTGTGTCGTGGTTCTTATTCCCCGAGGCATATGCTAAGAATACTATTTCAAAGATCCTATAGCTAGTCGGTATGGTCGCCTCAATAAGCAAGTATGACTATCAATTATAGACTGTTCCACGTTGCTCACATTGCTCTTTGAGGGCTCCATTTCCTCCTCGCCTTGTACTGCAGTACGCTGGGTTCCCGCCTCCTCCACCCTCTTCCTTGTTTCCCATGCAGACGGCACAATAATCGTTTACGATAAGGAACGAGATGACGGAGTATTCAGTGTGACGGCTCCCACCATTCAGATATCACCTTCTAACCTAAAACCGACTCAGAATCAATCCCAACCGACTGGTGAATGGGATCCATTAACGATCATGTACGTTGCAGTTCCGCCATGGCATCCTGAAGCCAACGTAAATGGAGGCGCGAAAGCAGACAAAGGGGTTGCCAAAAATCCCGTTAGTCATTGGAGGTTGAGTAAACGCGCTGTCGTAGGTGTGTGATTGATCTGCATGCTCGCAAGCGTTCTGAAACTTTCATGCTTAGATTTTGTGTTCTCTCCTGATGTCAAACATGTTGCTGCAATATCAGAGGACGGCTGTCTACGAGTGATTGACGCATTTGCCGAGCAGTGAGTGACGTACTCCACTTCGTTATTTCCTACGAGATCTCTTGACAACTCTGCAGACTCGTTGATTGCTATGCGTCATATTTTGGTGCATTGACATCTGTCGCGTGGTCACCTGACGGTCGACTCATACTGGTATTTATATCATTGTTTCTTTGTGCTTCATCATCCCTCACCAAGTCTCTCGCAGACAGGTGGACAGGATGACCTCTTGACAATATTTTCCCCGTGGGAACAACGAGTGGTCGCTAGATGCCAAGGACACTCATCTTTTGTGTCGGCCGTAGCATTCGATGCACCGAAGTGCGACGGACGGACATATCGGTTTGGGAGCGTAGGGGAGGACAACAAACTGATATTGGTCTGCTTGTCTTTGTGTTGAGTAGCAACTGATCCTAATCTCGTCTTTGCAGTGGGACTTCTCCAGTGGTGCATTACACAGACCGAAACTTCAGCATGGTCATCATCCGCGTGTTTCAATGGCATCCAGCGTCTCGTTGGCTGCAGCATACCGTCGTGGGACTGGTTCAACAACACAGCTCATAACGCCTAGGTACCATCCTGCACCGTCAAGAAACGAGGTTTCCGCGGTTCAGCCAGTTTTAGTATGCTATCATTCAAATTCTTGTCCGCACCTACTCATCCATTTCGCGCTCTAATTTAGGTCAAACACATCGAGGCTGATATGCTAAGCTGCCTGACATTTCTCCCTCGTGCACTGCTGACGGCAACAAAATGCGGTCATGTGAGGATGTGGGTCCGGCCACTTGTGACACCTGGGAACTCCCGTCGACGGGCACATGGGAGGCAGGTTTTGTCGATATCTGACCTGAAGGATGTTGTTTGAGCCTCGACTCTCTATGGATGCAGGATGCAGGACGTAAATTATACAATTAATTTTGATTTACATCCATCAAAGATTTTTTGTTTCCTGGCGAAGGAATCAGTACTCAGTACTCAGTACTCAGTACTACAGAATTAGGGAACTGGGGTGTTGTTTATGGGGGATTTCAAAGTCGAGTAAGGAATTCCCCTATTCAAACCGATGTCATCGTCGAGACTTGCACTCCGTAGGCTTTGAATAAACAGCATGTCACGCTTTAATGGCTCAAGACAAGTACTCTCTACAAGTGCAGATAAATCAAGTTGGGACAGGGTAATCTGATCTCGGATTTGGTCTCTTTCCTTTGTGTTGTTCATTTGAACGTTCCCAGGTTCATCTGGCTCTATCCCCTGGCGATTTGAAGGTCTCGCTAGCTCGTCCTCATCTTCTTCAAACTGGCTTCTAGATCTTCGAGCTGCCAGCTTGAGTGATACTAATCCATTTGAAGCGCCCCAAGGGTTTGATTTCGAGCACGATACTGCTCAGAAGGGTGAGCAACTCGTATCGCAGCCTTCTCATCCTGATCTGCTTCCTTCAGGTGTCGATACCAAGTTCTCTTTGAGCCCAGAAATGTTCGCTCGCCTTTGCAAATTCTGCGGCAGACGCACCAGCACTCGCGCTCGGGCATAGCATCAGCAGCTCGAGAAAGGGGAAGGGAAACAGATGTCTGTTCAGAGTATTGCACGTACAACTGGTACGGGATGCAGTAGACATGGCCGACTGTTCTCGTCGAGAGCTACCAGGATGTAGCGTTACATAATGTTTGAGACCTGTCGAAATGGTATCGCGTCCGAGTCGACAGTTCACATGTTTGGCCATACTTTGATAGTCTGGTGACCAGCCCGTCTATGAGGTCACCAGACTAATACTTTGATACAAGTAGGTCATTTCTAGCACGTTCAAATAGACATTTACACTATTCTAGTCGATTTCCGACATCCATTTTATATCCATTTTTCACTGGGACTCAGTACTTAGTACTCAGTACTCAGTCCTCAACGAGAGGAAAATAATGTGACAGTAGATAGGTGGGACATAGTATTCATGACATTCACCACCAACAACCTCCGTTTCTTGATAAGATCTGATCTGATTGTTCTTGAAGGATTCATAATCTAAATTGCTCGCCCTGAAGACTGGTGCGCATCGCACACAAAGAAATAATGGAACATGCGAAACGTGCATATGAACATTGGAAGGAGAATGATTTCTCACTTGACAGTAACTTGAACAGCCCATCTCTCAATCCACCCCCGACGCACAAGTGAAGCCTCGAGGGCTACCAGGAAGATGTCCAGACGCCATGCCTCGATACCCATATTCTTCACCCACATCTCGCGAAAACTCGGTTTCCCAGAGGCGGACTCATACACGTGCCGCAGTGCTTGTTCGTAGTCAGCTGAAACGTTTGAAAGCGAATCGACAACCAGATTGGCCCCACGAAGTTGTTCGAGGACGGAAACGAGGGACCGCGGACGGCGATGTGAGCGCTTGGAAATGACGAACGGAAGGGCAGAAATGATTTGTGCCGTGCTTAATGTTCGAAGGGATGATGAAAAAGCCGTGAATTCCAATGTCACCCTACAACCCGAGGGGATCTTGCCACGGGAAGCACTATCGAGACAAGGCAAAGTGGTCGACGAAGTTAGAGCAGACGGAAACAAGGATAGACCCAGGGGAATTGAGTCGGCAGCGGACATATCGCGGGGCAACCAGTGGGTGGGAGCGAATATGCGTCCTGGCAGACGTAACCATGGATGATCGAGATGCAGTAGGGATACACACTACCGCATACACGTACCTAAATTAGACTGCATATATTTGTCTGCTGCGTAAATAAGATATCTCATAGATATGGGTGGTACCCACCTCGGAAAGCAGACAACATTCGAAACAATTGATCCACCACTTCCACCCGATACTTACGCATATGGTAAACCCTTTTACACCTACCCCGGAGCCTACAAGATTTGTAAAGTCGTTTATAAGGTCACGGAATTCTATGAGACCGTCGACCGTATCCTCGATAATCATCTCCAGGGGTATAACGACACGTGAACGGGAAGCCCTCGCAAATTGGATGTAGCGGGCCGGCCAGAGCGAGCACCTTGGTACTATGACAGCGGAGAGGGCCTGAAGAGCGTCCCTGGTGTGGATGTATCGTTTGTCTTGGGGTCGCGAGAGTGTGAAGAAGCATACAAAGACCGTGACGGAGACGAGAAAAAGACAGCATGAGAAGGCTTTCGCGTGGCGTTCGAAACTGTCCCCGGAGAGATTCAACCAACCAGGGAACGTATAGAGACAAGAGCGAAGGGCTTTCATACTCAAGGTCTCCCAGAACGCTGTGCTACTGGTCATGCTTGTGGCGGTTCTGAATCAAACGTTCATGGAAGAATTCTGGAATGGTTCGTCTAGCACAAGTCCAACTTGAACGTTACAAGATTCGATCAGTGCATGAACGTTTGAACGATGTAAAGCCTCAAATTTGATTTAAAAAAATGTCACCATGTATCACAAAATCATGGCATCGCCATGAGTGTATGCAGCCTCTAATACTAGTAGGAAGCTGCAACGCCAACAGAAAAAACGACGCCAGCAGGATTCGAACCTGCGCACTCAAAGAGTAACAGATATCACATACCATTCGAATCTGTCGCCGTAACCACTTGGCTATAGCGCCTTGTGGCTTTAGCTTATCAAGAACTTATGGAAAAGTTAGATTGATTTCTACTTTTGGTAACCAATAGTCAGCTTCCCCGGGCCCTCAGGCTGCTCCAAGCCGTCACCCTTAACATTGCAACACTCGTATTGGAATTTGGAAAGCGGCGATGGACTGGTTTGTTTTGTAACATTCTTCCTGAGGCGTGTTACTCACTTTTCATTCTTAGCCTTGAACTCAATATACGACAGCGCATTCTGTCTGATCTCGCAGGGCATGAACCAGACACTGAAGATGACTATTTGAGCATTCAACATCTTATTCAGTCCAAAGCTCAATTAAATTCGCAAGAAAACGAGGAGACAAGGAGCGAGGTGTTGACCGCACTCGGGGGTAAAAGGATATTCATGGTGCGGATAGCTACTACGTTTCTAACCTCTTCATGTCTGACACTCTCGCAAGACGGAAACACGAGCGCAGTGCAAAATTGCCTTCGGAGAAATGGTCATAACCCTCCCCGAGAACCATGTTCAAGACCAAGTTGATACACTTCTCACTGTTCTGCTCGATATCTTAGATGACCTGCCCCACATTGACTATTGCCAGTCCTTGTCTTGGGACGGTGAGCATTTAGATCATTGCATTGCTATATTCTAATCCCCATACTCAGAATGGGCACTCCCGGATCAGCTTGTCTATTCGACTGTTTCCGCGGTCTTACGAGTCTGTTCCAGTCACCCGGATCGAGTGGACCAGGCAGTCAATGCTATTTTACGATTTGTTACTCAAGCGATAGAGAAACTCCCGACAGCCAGCTGTGCGTACTTTCAAGTTGATAATTGAAATTTTCTAACTGATGCGCCTGTTAGCCCTCGAGGTTCTGACGCAACTGACTCCCTCTGTACATGGTCTTTACCGCGCTATCACCTCAATGCACTTCCCATGGACGGTTACTCAATGGCGACTCTTGTCTCAGGCTCTTGCTGGCCTGGTGCAGGATCCCATCCTCGAATGTATCAACCGACTTCTTCTTGTCATTCATGAAGAAGCAGGCGTGAATCCAGACTCATGCGAGACTTTTTTCTTTTGTCGTGCCTTCATCACACGTTACATCAACTTCGGGAGACCTCTGAGCGGGTATTTTATCGTGTGCTGTGTCATGGAGCTACAGTGGACCGTACTTGCTCAAGCTCTTGTTCCCGTCGCGACTGAGGGTGTCCAATTCCGAGGACTCTTGAAGGAAGCTGCCGCAGCTAACAAGGCTTGGTTGAACCTGATGAAAAGGGCTGCAAAGAAATTGCCTATAGAAGACGGAACAACAAAAGATTGCCTTGAATTCAACCATAAGGGGTTCCTTACATTGCTTCAAGGACCTTTTGGTGCAGATACAGGATATGGATATTGAACCTCCCATTGACACATATGCATGGGAGACGATGTCTGAGAGCTTGGTGAGTTTCACTCCCAGCACGGTATGCATCACTGAATTTTCACTTCTTACAGAAACTATCGTCCGTTTGTTCGGTTGCTTTGGGGGAACTTGACCCTGATCTTTACGAGTATCTTTGTCTACTACTGAGCGACAAGACTCCAGTTATGGACAACTTAGTTCAGGAAGCAGCCCTCAAAGCACTGACTGTGCTCGTCCAGAGCTTCCCGGAAATTGCGAAGGGTCTGGTGCACCACTTACGTCGATTCGTCACTTCACCTCTTCCGATCTTCGAATTTGCTTTCAATGCCGAGAAACGCTCTCCACCGCCACTTACGGCTGCCGCAAAATGCTTCAGTTTGTGCGTCAAGGTGAGGCATATTTTCGAAAGCGTGAAAACTGCTGACCGATTTCATTGAGAAGCTGGCACCTGGAGAGGATACTATCATGTCGAACATGTACTCTCTCTTGAACTACATTGCCGCGACGAGCCAAGAGATTTTCGAGTCTTCTTCGCAGCAATATCTGCACAATCCCCTTTGCACACCTCCCTTATCGTCTTCTACCGATCAGCTCACCTTTCGGAGCGAAGATGTCGGTCTTCGAGGACGTTCTGACGAGGAAAAGCGACTTATCGGTATAACCACAATATCTATTGTGACGCGGCTTGCTTTGGAGTTCGACGAGGAAGAGGTGACGAAACTTACGATTTCTATGCTGTTGCAAAGGCTCCGCACGGCAGAACCTGCGGTCGAGGCAACTATTGCGTACAACTTGGTGGACCTGGCTTTGGTTGCTCCTGAGGAGGCATTCCTGGACATCATCCGCGCGTTTTCGGCCATCAATCGCACTGCGAACCCGGAAGATCCCCGGTTCTCTAATAATATGGTAGGTTACCAATCATTCTGCGAAAATTCGGAGTGTCCATTCCCACTGCACGGATAGGTATTGGCAGCTCAGACCAGACTTGCCCGAGAAATCAACAGGAGACCTGATCTTTATGACGTGTATTTGGAGGAGCTTCTTACCCTCTTCTCTGACAAAGGCGTGGGGATTCAGAATGCCGCTGCTGCAGGACACACTGGGAAGGTTGGCTGTTGTCTCCCGTCTGCTAGCACACTCATAATTGAAGAAGGTATTCACCAGACGGAAGAGATGACAGAACAGCTCGCCTCACTTCTACTCCCCATTGAAGCTCTCCTGGATCACGCCGACTTTACGCCTTACCTTAATGCCTCTTCCGAGTTGACAAACTTATTCCGAAATCTATGGTTCTTGTGTGTTCTTTTCAACTTCACGACTTCTGGCGAGGAGGAGAGAGAGAAGAGTGCCATGACATGGTTATTGCCTGCGCTTGCGAGGATTGCAATTAAGACGCCATGCTTGGTCCTCGAGAACATTTCGGATGCGGTGAGCGATCTAGAGTATCGCACGGTCATAAGACACGAGTACGCCCATTCGGTATGTTTCTCTTTCCCATTTTTTCCTCTCCTAGTCACAAAGTTGACCAACTACAAGGTCCTGGCAAAGCACCGTGGTTGCCTTGCGCGCCATATCTCTGTGAGCGCCGGGGACCTTCGATCATTAACAACTGGTCAAGTCATCTTTCTGTTGACTATGAATGACCTAGAGACAATGCGCTCGGCGGCTGGGCTGCCCTCCTCCCTCGTTTCCTACTTCACCAATCAAAGTTTGAATAAGCAAAGTGGTCTGAACGTTTACATGGATGCTGTCGCTGACAATGTATGCTTCTCTTTCGTTGAACGTAGGCGGAAGCTAATGGAGCCAACAGGTAATCCGAGGTTCCAGCGTTGATCTGAACACCCAGGCTGCGGAACAAGCACTTCCACCCCACCTTTCTTCAGAACTATGCAATTTGCTTGTGGCAAGTACCCACCGCATTGCACGTGCTCGCGAGGTCGCGTCCAGGTACCTCAATCGTTTAATTACCTCATTTCCGTCGTTGATGTGTGACGCAACACTTGTCTACGCTATTCTTGAGTGTCTCACCCTTCTAAGACGTGCGTGTGAAAACGAATATCTCGACGAGGTTCGTATCCGTCTCGAATGAAGGTTCATGCCCTCACTTGCCATTCTAGTACAATCCTATATACGAATTCCATTCTGAACGCACGGGCATGTGTCTCCAGTTGACGGATGATTACAGAGTCAGAAACGAGATTCTTGTCCAGTTGCAAAGACATGCAGCTAATTGGTTCGAGCTTGCGTTGAGCCGCGCCCCAATAGAGCTGCAGTCAACTCTACAGGTTTTTCCTCTCTCAATTCTGAAGTACAAAATACGAGTCTAACTGCCGTTTGACAGAAATACCTTTCTGCAACACAATCCTTCACTGGTTCAGACTCATCTGAACTCGGCGCGTCTTTGGCAGAGAAATTTGCCAAGGATTTTGGGCTGCCACATCGACAATTGAGTAAGTGATGTGAGGATCGAAAATCTAGTTTCTAACATTGTTCAGCATCACTGCGCTCCCTGTCTAACCGGGAATATGATCGTGCAAAAGTACTTGCGAGTCAGCTTGCTAGCAAAAATTACTTCGCAGGTGAAGCTGCAGGCCTGCGATTGGCCAGTCGAAAAGGCACTGTGGTCTTAACAGCAAAAGTAACAATGACTTATGTATGACTTGGCGCAGCGCAAGACATCTTGGACAAAGTTCCTCCGCGAAACGCGACTCCCACTGACATCTTGGCACTCAAGAAGAAGATGGAGGAAACTATGAATGCTATTTTGGGGAAGACTAGTACATTGACCGTCCAAGACCTTAAGCGTTTGTTATTTCGTTGTGCGGCGACTGTGATTCGCGTTAGATAAGGTATGCCGGCAATATCGTCCTGGAATACGTGACTGACTATAGGCAGTGCGAGTATACTCTGCTGCATTACCTCGTCACTCTACCATTCGAGGTGTTCACACCATCCGCCATGTCCGCTGGAATTGAGGTTTGGACGTGGGTGATAGCAGAGAAACCAGATGCCGAGGTCGCCTGATAAGTGAAATCTTGGCGGCTTGGTTTGCCACCTGTCAGAGACAGAAAGGGAGCTTTTTCGCGATCCCTCAAGTCAGGTTTCCTTCAAGGTAAATTACTGCATAACTCACGCCTCTCCCAGTTACGACGATCCGCTCTACAACCCAATGGGATACAGTCCGACGGATAGAGAAGAAATTGATCGCGCAACGTCGCACGCCCGACGCCTTCTTCTACCACATACCTTGGTTCTACAAATGTTATTCAGTCGGTTACAAGCTGCTCGCTATCGTCGGTCAACAGTTATATTCCTTATGCAACAGCTTGTGTTACGATCCACTCAAGCCCACAAGCTTTTCAGGTGGGTTAAATGTTAAGGCGAATTGAAATTTTCGTTGACTCCAATACAGTACGCACCCGCTTGCCCGGGAACTGCGCTACTCATTCCTCCTGTTTGGCTTTGAAACCTTGAAGAGCTCGAACCTGGAAGTTTTCTCCGAGTGTACTACGCGCGAGAACCTTTATCGTACTGCGTATGCATGGTTTGCAGTCCGACCACAGTAAGTGACCCTATCTCTGTGATGTTTAGTGGCTCAACCTGTCATGTT